CCCCCCTCCCCACCTTCCCCCTTCAGGTTTCACTATGCAGACCAGGCTATCCTGGAACTCTATGTAGACCTCAAACTTAGATCAGCCTACCTCTGTCTGTTCACACATTTCTATTCTTTAAAAACTCCACATACAACCTTAGAACATCTCAAAGGCTGAAAGCTCACAGATGCCAAGAGGGCCAAAGATAACAGATCCAGGGCATGAAAACAGATTCACAAATGATACTGCTTATCTTCTCTTCCATGTACCTGCAGCTGACAGATCCCCAGAAGAACTTGGTTTAGGCATCTTTATCAGTAATAAGAGTAATTTTAAAGAATGACATACAAAATGTACTTCTAAACAGGTTTTTTTCCCCCATTCTGTTCTCAATCCTTGCTTATAACACTTGATCACTACTAAAAGACAAATTCATTTTCAGTACAATAAAGCCAAAAGTTCTCTTCAATTAAGCTTTGGTCAAAAAAAAAAAATCAAAAAACTTTAAAATGGTGCTCTTCAGATGTGGTCTTTGGTCAAGCAGCACAAAGCTCTGAATGAAGTCCCTGACCTGGTGGTGACAAAAACAGAGGCTATTCCAGTTTAAGAAGGAGGTATTTGATCAGAATTCCTCAAAGGGGGTAAAATACAACGGAAGCACAAGAGAAGCCAGCCAAGACGCTGGGTAAAATCTTAGCATAGGAGGAGTAGAAGAACTGGCCTTTGGAAGATCAATGTTCAGGTGAGTCAGCATCTAGGTGGAAAACTTACACCACTAATGGTGTAAGCAGAACATGAGCAAAGGACTGACTAACACTTGACTGTATTGGGCCAAATCTTAATCTGGACCCAAAAGCAGCAAGAGGCTGTCGTAACTTTAGAGGTGGGAAGCATTAGGGCTAGATATCAGAGAGAACCAAAATGCTGGATACATCTTCAGCCTATGACCGACCATATGAAGGAAGAGCGGATAATGAATAAATTATTTGGTGAACAGAACAAAAAAAAAGAGAGACCAGTCTTAGGAGGTCCTTGGCCAGGGGGAGTCACATAAGCCTTCCAGCCTTGGTAACATTTACCTTAAGACTAAAGACAGAATGCTTTGGTTGATTAACTTGACTGGTTAAACAGGGATTCCAAGGGGGACAACCTCTGAGACCTGGGCGGGAAGTCAGCAGAAGGCACTTGCTCCCTAGGGAGAGGGCCAGTGAGTCTCGAGGCTGGAGAGCCAGGGCCTGAAGTAGGTCTTGACGGATCCAAGCCCATGAGGTGACTGCAGCGGGAAATGCCTGTTTCAGAAGCCACAGGCAAGGGTCAGCGTGATTTCACAAGTAGAATAGTTATAAAATAAAACATTTTTTAATGGACAAAGTAATTGTGTGTGTGTGTGTGTGTGTGTATGTGTGTGACTTAGCAAAGAAAGAAAGAATGTGAAGCAGTTTGTTTTTTTTTTACTATTTACAAAATGCCATTTGGAGTGGAGGTGGCCACCTTCAGTAGCTTTGGAAATGTCTTTCACGTGAAGTGGTCACTGAAGTATGGTTCCTGGAATTGGCTCAGAAAGGCCACACACTGTCCTGGGAGGAAGTCCTCCTCGAGGGAGCACCAGAAAGGCTCAGTCTTCTGTCTCCTCATAGGTAGTCTCATCAAAGGGCCTGTCCAGCAGAGGCACCAGCCGGTGGCGAGAGTACTTCAGTTGCAGCAGATCCCCAACTTCATCTATCTCCTTCAAAGCCTGAAGAACATAAGGGAGAAGTCAGCAGGGTCCATCGGGGCAAGTGCACCCATGGCTCTCCTGAGTAGAAACATCAGTGGCAAGGTTATCTTGGTGGGAATCCAAATCTTCAGGAAAGACTCCACACAGCTGTGGCAGGCCCAGCTACCTAAAAGGACTGTGTATCCACGCATGACCACAAAGGCTACAACTCTTCTAAGTGCAATGTGTTTGTAGGAAAGGGAACAGGCTTCCTGTTGGGATTATAGCTGGAATGCACACCCTGGGTCTGTGACTGGCTCAGCAGGCAAAGGCACCTCTATGGTCTCACAACTTGAGATTAATCCCTGGCACCCAGATAGTAAAGAATCAACTCCTCCAACTTTCCCTTTGACCTCCATATGCAAGTCATGGAGTATGACTCCATAAATAAATAAAAAGCATACAAAGATATTGTAAAAGAAAATGTACATTTTAGAATTGTTTATCAACATAAAGGTAAATACTTGTTAAACTTGTTAAACTTATTCTTAGTTGTCTACCTGAGTCCTGATGTTGAGACTACAGGAGGGCCCTGTGCACACTCACACTAGCCCTGAATTGTGATCCCTCTGTGTAGCCTCCCAAGTGCTGCGACTAAGGTCTGCATCACCATGCCTGGCCTGAGACTCCCTTTTCATTTGGTTACTGCTGGAATCTCGAAATACTAATGTAGTACAAGGCTATTTTACCTGACAGCTTTGCCAAAACCACTTATTAGCTCTAACAGTCTTTTTGTATACTGTGTGCATTCTATACAAATGTATTCTAAGGAAAGATGGATTCTTATGAAAAACCATTATGTTGCTGAGTAAGGGATTACTCTTGGACAGCTGTCCTCCCTGAGCTGTTGCCTTTGTCCTTCCCATTTTTCAGAACAGCTTTATTGACTCTGTATTTTATGTGTTGATTCTATGTATTATTTATAGACACACATACACACACACACACACACACACACACACACACCCCAACTTAAAAAAAGAGAGAGAGACCATGAATCTGAATAAGAGCAAGAGCATGGGAGGGAATGGAAGGAGAAAGGGAAGGGAAAATGATGTAATTATAATCTCAAGAAAATATAAATAAGTCAGTATAGAAACTTTTACTATCAAGGATTCAAAGACAGAATAGAAGTGCAAAGGACTGAAAAAGAAAAAAAGACACTTTTACTATCTACAAACTGTACTAGAGAAAACAAATCGGATGGATAAACTGGACCAACTGGGTAAGTCAGAGTGTGAGAAGAGCAGCTCACATAATACCTGCATTTTATAATACCAGAGTGTCACACTGGTCACTTAAGGAAGGGGAAGATCAGTCACTACTAAAGTGTTCTAATAAAAATTAAAAACAAAACAAAAAAACCTGAAAGTTTTTCCCGTTTTTGAGAAAGTTTTCATTACTTATCTTAGGCAGGTTTCAAACTTTTGACTTTCCTGGTTCAGCCTCCTAAATGCTGGGATTACCAAAGGCACACATTATCATGCCAGGTCAGGAATGTTTTTTTTTTTTTTTTTGAGACAGGGTTTCTCTGTGTAGCCCTGGCTGTCCTGGAACTCACTCTGTAAACCAGGCTGGCCTCGAACTCAGAAATCTGCCTGCTTCTGCATCCCAAGTGGTAGGACTAAAGGCGAGTGCCACCACTGCCCAGCCAGGAATATATTTTTAATGAGAGAAATTTCATTTTGTAGATACAGGGAAGAACGGTCAAAAGTCTTTAGCTGTTAAGAAACAGAAAATGTTAGCTGGGCATGGTATCATACCCCTTTAGTCCCAGCCATTCTGGAGATAGAGGCAGATGATCTCTGTGAGTTTAAGACCAGCTTGGTTTACATAAAGAACTCCAGGACAGCCAGAGCTACATAGGGGGACACTGTCTTAAAATACAAAACAAACTAAACAAAAGTGTCAATGAGATTGTTATAGTACTTTTAAAAACAAGCGTTCACAGAATTCATTAAGATTAGCAGGCATCAGGACACATGTCTGTGATCTCAGTGTTGGGAGGCAGAGACAGGCAGGTCTCTGTGTGTTGCAGATCAGCCTATGTCTAACAAAGAAAAACAAAAAAAAAAGCACAGTACCAACTCCCCTCAAACCAACCCACAATGAAACCATTATTAGTTTAAAGAACTTGCTCTGTGTGTGTGTGTGTGTGTGTGTGTTTTAGGGTTCAAGGGGACACGCAGCAAGGTTCCTTTAAGTGGAGTTGGGACCAATGCACAGCAGTCACACATGGAGGAAAGGCTTATTAGTGTAACATTAAAGGAGATGGCGCAAATTACTAACACTGGAACTCTTTCTTTCAGCTTTAGATCCCATGAGGAGGAGACAACAGTGCAGGTGGAGGCTGACCCTGGTGAGGAAGCTCAAACCTATAATGCCAGCAGCCAGGAGGATCTCCAGTGTGAATACATAGTGAGTTCTGCGGCAATCTTGACTACTTATTGAGACCCTGTCACCAAACAACAAAGGAAGCTGGACCATTCTTTAGAACTTGGAGCTGGATTTGGTAGATGATTTGGAAGATTCTGCAATTGCTTAGAAACGGCCATTTTCAATAGCACTGCTTGCCACTGCCTCAGCAGCCAGGTCCTAGGTGCCCAACAACATCAGGCGATTAAGCCGTCTGTCTGATATACAACCTCTTTTAGTATTGGTCAAAGGCACTTACCGTGTCAAGTATTTCTTTGGTATGAGCTGCTGACAGGCAAAATCTGGCTCTGGACTCAATGATGGGGGTAGCAGGAAATCCTACCACAACTACACCAATGTTCCGTTTTAGCATCTCTCTTCCAAAGGCGCTACAAAGGGAAAACAGGAAATGAAACCAATGATTGCAGCTGGGCATGGTGATATGCCCTTGAAACCCAGCACTCTTTCCAGGCTAGCTTGATCTACAGAGGTAGTTCTAGGGCAGACAGGACAAAGAAGAGATCCTGCCTCGAAAAAGAAAAACAAAAACCAAACAACAACCATAAAAAAGAAATAGCAGCCAGTATCAAGTCTTGCTGGCCTAAGTATTTGATGACACTTAAACACTTAAAACTGGTGTTCTAAAAATTCTGTTTATCCAGTTCTCTGTTAGTTATTCCTTCACAAAGGTGGAAGAATGTAACAGGCAAGGATTAATTCTGATAAAGTTTGCTTAAGGTGATGGCCTGCTCCTGAAATGTAATAGTGGTTAAGATTTCAAAATAAATCTGTGTTATAATCTCAGGCCTCTTTTTAGTAAGTTTGGGAGGACAGAGGAGCTGTGCAACAGGACATCTCTCTGCTGCCACTAAGGTGGCTGGCTGACTGGAACAGGCTCTCTACACCAGGAATTTAAAAACCAAAACCAAAACCAAAAAACCTACTAAAGGACTAAAAAACCTACTTTAGGACTAAAGCTGCTTCTAGAGTACAGGCTTTGCAGGTCAGTAGGTTACCCAAACTCCACAACCGTTATATAAACAACTTCATTACAGTTGTCTTGTGGCCTTATTCTACATCTGAATCTTGACTAAATAATGAATTCTAACCTGGTTTTGTTTTGTTTACCAAATTATGCTTTCTGTTTTATCTTCTTGTTGGCTACCTGACTCATTTTTACTCTTCCCTTTATTTGCTCAGAGTTTGGGAATAAAAAAAGACTCTGCCCATGACAGGTATAGGAGTAGCATGTTTAATCCCAGCACTTGGGAGACAGAGCTCAATCTATATAATGAGTCAGCTAGGGCCAGCTAGGGCTACACAATGACATTTTCTTTCAAATAGGCTTGCAAGCAAGAAAAAAAAATTCCTGCGGGTGTAGCAACACAGGAATGTCAACTTCTTCTCCCACTCCAGCCCCAATCTATCCTCTGTCTAAGGACGGGCTGGTCTGTGACCTTCCACACAATGTACCCAATTTTGGCCGGCATGTAGAGCATCAAAGGCACCACCGGGGAGTCTTCATTGCCATAGATGATGAAGCCCATCTCCTTCAGCCGTCTCCTGAAGTATCTGGTGTTCTCAGCCAACTGCTGTATACATTCTTTGCCTAGAAAAGGCCAAAATAATACTAAGGAATAGAAGAAGAAGATAAGTATTTTCCCTGCCTTCTCTTCATCTCATTAGGTCTGTTATTCTTGTTTTCAGGTGACTTTTACTGTATAGTCCAGGATGTCCTTGAACTCTTGGAATTCTTGCCTCAGTTTCCCAAGTGCTGGGGTTACAGGCATGTACTACCATACTCCTTTCTTCTAACATAAAGCAGTCTGCATACCAACTTGTGTGGAATATAAACATAAATGTGCTTCCTCTGCATCCTGTCGCTTGTCACTGGAGCTGCTGATAGCAGAGTTCGTTTTGCATTGGTGCTGGGGAATCAATCTAGGATCTCATGCGTGCTACGCTAGCACTCTACTACCAAACTTGTCACAGCCTGACCTACAGGAAGGATTATAGTAATGTACAAAAGAAAGTTTCATGGCTAAGGGCTGAAGATGCAGCTCCGTAGTAAAGAACTTGCCTAACACAGGCACTATAACCCTTTAAAAAAAGAAAGAAAGAAACAGGGCTGGAGAGATGGCTCAGCAGTTAAGAGCACTGACTTCTCTTCCAGAGGTCCTGAGTTCAATTTCTAGCAACCACATGGTGGCTCACAACCGTCTGTAATGGGATCTGATACTTTCTTCTAGTGTGTCTGAAGAAAGTGACAGTGTACTACAGTATAAATAAAATAAATAAATGAATCTCGAAAAAAAAAGAAAAAGAAAAAGAAACGGTGTCATTCATGGCGTTCTCTCTCAGTCACAGTGCCTCATTGTGCACACCCTTGACAGTGCAGAGGGTGCTTATCCCACCATTCTACATGTTAGGAGACTCGCAGAGGTGGTACCTTGCTTATTGCCACCAAGTAAGAAGAGGCACTGCCAAAAATAGAATCTGGGCCGGACTTCCAACATCAATATCACTTCAAGCAGCCACGGTGCAAACACTTCCACAAATCTGAACACTGACGATACCGGTTAGACCTCAAATTCTGAGTCACCTTGTATTCATAGCTCCTTAAAACTTTTACCAGATAGCAAGAGCCTCTCTAGCACAAAACCTATCTAGCTAATCTCGAACACAAGTTTGCTTTGTTTTGGTTTGGTTGGTTTTTCTATGTAGCTCTGAATGTCCTCAAAGTCAAGAAATCTGCTGCCTTCTACCTCTGGTGGGATTAAAATGTTTTCTAATTTCTAATTGAATAAATAATTGGTGAAGTGTTGACATTACATTATGATCAGATGGCCGAACAAGACAATAGTTTTGAAAGACTTAACTTGCAGAGTGCTAATGTGTGTTTTTTTTCACAGTCAAAAATATTGATAAGAGAAGGCTGGAGTAATTTTATCATGTTAGAATTCAAGGATGATACAATTAATAAGTTTATCAACCAATCAGATGCACAGGTAACTCAAATGTCCTTAGAGTTAGAATACTGACATGTCTACCACTTGTGGGAAACTATACTAGATAAGTTGGATACACACAGCCCCAAATGAATATCCTTTATATACAATAATGTCAAGTAGATCAGAGAAAACATGTACCTTATGAAGAACAAGAGCTAAGAATAGGTGTGTTACATAAGGATTCCAAGAACTGGGTTCTCAGAATTACACATCCTAATTTCTTGCAATATGAAAAAAGATGCTTGTTCTACCTTCTAAAACTTTATTAATTGGCTGAAAAAAAATTTTGAGACAAGATTTCATGTTTTATTAGGGGTTTTATTGCTGTCAAGATTCTGTATCCTGAGCAAAGCAACTCTTTATTTTTGCATGTAGGGTGGGAGATTAAGATGGTGTTTCTCTGGCCATCCAGGAACTTGCTTTGTAGACCAGGCTAGCCTCAAACTCACAAAGATCTGCCTGCCTCTGTCTTCCAAGTGCTAGGATTAAAGGCCTGGCTAAAAGAAAGCATTTACTCGGGGACTTGCTCACAGTTTTAGAGGCTTAGTCCTTATCATCAGGTGGGGAATACGGTGAGGCAGGCATGCTGTTGGAACAATAGCTGAGAGATTTAACATCTTGGTCCTTAGGCATCAGGAAGAGAACCACTGGGCTTGGCATGGGCTTTCTGAAGCCTCAAAGCCCACCTCCAGTGACACACTTCCTCCAAGGTCACATCTTCTAATCCTTCTCAGTCATCAAATGGGGACACTAAACATGCAAATATGAGCCTTTTGGGGCCATTCTCATTTTATTTATATATATATATTTTCACTACACATATATTCTAGGCTATCAGAAAATGACCTCGAATTTCTGATCCTCCCAATTCCACCTCTAAGTTTACATGTGCTACCATGCCAGGTAGCCCCAACAATTCTTGGCACTTATAAAGAGCTCACAATAGCCACCAATGCAGTGCTAGGTACCAAACAAGGACAAACATTCAACCAAGTGAACTATGTCACCAGCCTCTTCCTTCACTTTTAGAGGAGACTTTACTTCCACCCTTTCTTTAATACTGGGACAAGATTTATCTTCCTTCAGTACAGACATGGCAACAAGAAGAGTGAAAATGTTACTTCAGAGATGGAAGCAGGGTGAACCTTCAGGAACTTAATGCCTAGAAGCAAGTTCCAGGTTGCTACCCAGAGAAGGCAGACCTAATCTTGTCAGATGAAATTAGAATCAGAGAGGTCAAATTGACTAGGACTCTGTTGGGCAGTAACTAGAAGGGGAGGGGAGTGAGCTTTGGCAAGACCAGAACTGCACATGTGTGAGAAGAAACTACCAAGGATTGGGAAATTCCCCCAGAAGGCAGTAGCCCCAACAATTCCTGGCACTTATAAAGAGCTCACAATAGTTATTCACCCACCAAAATGGAAAGATGGCACAATGTATACACAATAGCCCACAGAAGAATGTCACTTTAGTAGTGGAACTAAATTAACCCTAGGATGGGCTGGGTATGGTGGCCTTTAATCCCAGTACTGGAGTATCTGGAGGCAGAGACAAACCAAGATCTCTTGAGTATGAGGCTAGCCTTGACTACAGAGCAAGTTCCAGGACAGCCAGAACCATTAAACAGAGAAACCCTGTCTTGAAAAGTCAAAAGCAAAAAATTAAGTCTCGATATACCTTAACAAATCTGAAAAGCAAGTCTCAAAAGGATTTGATTCTCTGAGCAAAGTTCAGTGATGCTGAAGTGAATACAACAAAATAGAAGACCCAACTGGTAAAGTATATGACAACCAAGAAAAGTGTAGGCCAACAAACAGGCTAGAGAATGCCTATAGGACTAAGTGGGAAGTCAGAAAGCAAACAGACCAAAAGTGGCAAGAGAACTAGCAAACAAGGATGTTAAGATGTTATTAAGGTTATAATGTATAGGTTCAAAACGGTAGCAATGCTGGACATGAGATCAGAGGACGGCAACTTCTAGGCTAGTGTGGGCCCCACAGTGAGACCCTTGCTTGAAAACAAAAGCAAAACCAAACAACCCAAAAACTACAGTAAGAACAGAAAATATTTTTTAAAAGGAACAAACAAAATCTAGCACAATCTTGATCTGCAAAGTATGCTAGATGAAGACAGAAATAAGATTGCATGCTGTATGAATCAGAATGGAATCCTAGAGGACAAGTGTAGAAACAAGAAAAGAGTTCAACGGTTGTCAAGAAGTGGGAATGTGGGGGCTGGAGAGATGGCTCAGAGGTTAAGAGCACCAGAATGCTCTCCCAGAGGTCCTGAGTTCAATTCCCAGCAACCACATGTTGGCTCACAACCATCTGTAAAGGGATCTGATGCCTTCTTCTGGTGCAACAGTGTACTCACACACATCAAATAAATAATTATTTAAAAAAAAAAAAAAGAAGTAGAAATTCGGCAGACAGCCAGGTGTGGAAAGTTTTTGGGGCAGCCTTCTAGGAAGTTGACAGGAATTAGGGCTAGGGCAAGGAAGTAGAATCAAGATGAATACAGTTGAGGAATATGTTCTTTGTATTTTGATGGGTCTTGTTAAGATACTGAATACAGACATCATGAGACCTTTGTTTATGTCTTGCTTGTTCCTTGACTACTCTATGCCTTAGGACTGACCATATTCTTTGTATGTACCTAGAATGGTGTAAAAGCAGACAGGAAAATAACCTGTTTCAGCCTCAGCACTGGCTGGGTCACGCTATAGTGTCGTCTAGCTGTCTTCTTCTTCTGAATCCTCCCTCCCTCCCTGAGACCCCGCTGATTGAGTGAGCAGGCTTGGTCAGCCAGGGGACATGGGGGTGTTTTGGGGGATGATGAAAATATTCAGTGACCTTATTGTGGTATGGTTGGCTATGTGTGTTTATCGTGGTAGGACTATGTGTGTTAGTACAAATTTGTGGAAATATATACTTAAAAGTTGGTGAATTTTATTATTGTATGTAAATAATACCTCATTAAAACTAGCTTAAAATTGAGTGACATATTTGTGTATTAGTATAATCTTTTAAAAAAATTATATGTATCACCTTTTGTCTTATCACAGACCTACTAGCCCTATCACCAATTAACCAGCACTTTATTAAGGTTTGAATATGAAATGTCTTCACAATCATGGCTTTGTATGATTAATCCTTAGCTGATGGTACTATTTTAAGAGATGCTGGAAATTTTAGAGGAGGTAGGACCTAGTTGGAGAAAGCAGGTCATAGGGCATTCCTTATGCTGGATGCCTGGCCCGCCTCTACTGTCCACTATGAGAATTCTCTCTCTTCAATTGTTTATATCAGATATTTTGGTCAACCCTCAGGTTAGGCAACTTAAAACGACCTGTACCTCCAACTCCAGGGTATCTGATGGCCTCTTCCTCAGGCTCCCAAACTCACATGGCATATCCTCATAGAGATAAAAAAGAACTTTAAGACATAGAGAGCTCTGCCGGGCGGTGGTGGCGCACACCTTTAATCCTAGCACTTGGGAGGCAGAGACAGGCAGATTTCTGAGTTCGAGGCCAGCCTGGCCTACAGAGTGAGTTCCAGGACAGCCAGGGCTACACAGAGAAACCCTGTCTCGGAAAAAC